GCAGTTTTGAGGCTCGAGATCATCACCGCGTATTTTTCCAGTAATTCGATTAACGTTTCAGTGGGAACGTCGGAGGGGGGAAAGAAGATAAAGCGTGGTCTTTGGCAAGATTTAAACTGCGAGGAACACCCGAAGAATTGATTTACGCAGAAGGCCGGCATCTTGTTTTTAAATGATAATTAATTTTAAACGTTGGAAAGGTTGTCAGAAAGACATTTAAAAAGTTACCGGGTCGGATCAAATGGAGGGACAATTTATAACGTTCTGACAATGGAGGAAAGAGCAGAAATGATCGATGAGATAATTAGCTCCTGTATTTTTAATACGTTTACCACTAAATTATTAAATAGGGATGTTCAAATTGCTTTTGGATTTCGTCTCTTCTTTCTTTTAGCTTTTTATACAAAATAATACAGAACAGAAGTACGGATAACGGGAGTAGAGCGCACGATTTTTCTGATAAAAGCGTATGATGTACTGTACTTCTTCTGTAAGCAGTAGTTTGATACAACAGTGTTTTCATATTTTGATAGACAGTACATTGGCAGAATAGTAGTTACATAGAGTTCAACAGTAGTTTGATAGATAGTAATTTCACAGAACAATAACGAGACAGTAGTTTGATAGAACGGCATTTTTACAGAACAATAACAGGGCAGTACTTCGATAGGAAAAGTACTTTCACAGAACACTGGCAGAACAGTACTTTGATAGGAAAAGCACATTCACAGAACACTGGCAGAACGGTACTTTGATAGGAAAAGCACATTCACAGAACACTGGCAGAACGGTACTTTGATAGGAAAAGCACATTCACAGAACACTGGCAGAACGGTACTTTGATAGGAAAAGCACATTCACAGAACACTGGCAGAACGGTACTTTGATAGGAAAAGCACATTCACAGAACACTGGCAGAACGGTACTTTGATAGGAAAAGCACATTCACAGAACACTGGCAGAACGGTACTTTGATAGGAAAAGCACATTCACAGAACACTGGCAGAACGGTACTTTGATAGGAAAAGCACATTCACAGAACACTGGCAGAACGGTACTTTGATAGGAAAAGCACATTCACAGAACACTGGCAGAACGGTACTTTGATAGGAAAAGCACATTCACAGAACACTGGCAGAACGGTACTTTGATAGGAAAAGCACATTCACAGAACACTGGCAGAACAGTAGTTTCATAGAGTATAACAATAGTTTAATTAATAGACAGCACATTTACTCTGACAGAACACTTCTCAGTACAGTATAGTATATTTGAATTTAGTTGTCTGTTCTGTTTTTCCGGTTTTTAGTCCTTTCTCCTTATTTTTCGACCAAAATCGAAACAAAAATAATTACCGTCGCAGTCGTTACCGCATTTACGAGCACATTTATACGAGGAATGAACGCAAAATCTGTCGAACTCTAAGCAAACATTTCGTTAGAAGGAACCCCAAAAACCCCTAAACTGGAGTTTTTTTTTACCCCCTCGACCGCAATTATCTCTTGGATGGTTACCCTCGCAACAGGTTAAAATAGACTATTCCGTTAGGCGAAAGAACAAAAGAAAGGGAAACTCGGGACAAGTGACGTTAGAAATTATGCAGGATCGATAAAATAAACCGAAAACATTTGGGAATATTCCCGCAAAAGTATAATAAATATAAAGTATAATTGGGAAGTTGGCGATTTAGACAATGCCTGGCGTAGAATCGAGGTTATAAAAGAATCGAAGAGAGCTTTAAATCCGGATTGTTTCCATGCAAAACTAAATACGAGAATAAAATCGAGCCGTGTGGTGGTTCCCCCGGGCAACACAGTTATAGCTGTTGGAAAGATAAACGTTAGTGGCACCGCGCCGCACCGTGTACACCCCGTACCCCCCGCGGTCCACCCCCTCATATTTACACACAAAATGACTTGGATGTAGCCATTTTCGATCGCATAAATAACACATCCTTGTATTGTAATAAAAGATATTTATTCGGAATTAAGTATTGTGGCCCTCCGTTTGTCCGTAAGTGCAGACCGGAGCCGGATTTAATTGTGTTTTACAAACAATACGCGCGAGACTCGCCGGTGTATTTCTTAGAAAAAAACGGTAATCCAAACACTTGTTAAGATAATGCCCATCTTTACGTCAATTTGACGTCATTTTATACATCCACGTTACAAAAAAAGTTATAAATGACGTCATTTTACGCTTCCACGTTACAAAAAAAAACACGAGAATGACGTCAGATGGCATCATTCTTGTGTTTTTTTTTTTTGTAATGTGCAAGTGTGAAATGACGTCAAACGAATGCATTTTTGTAGTGTTTAGTGCACTTATACAATAAACGTAAACACCAAATGCCATTTTTTTTAGTTCAAATGTCGTGAAAATACATTGTGTTCTATAGAATTATACTAAGTTCGGTGTTTAAGCGGGGTGTAATTTCGTTGTGCTAGTGTTTCAGACAAGCAAAGCCTGGTGGGGAGTGTCGGTTTGCTTGTTAAAAATTAATAATTTGTGCGTTTATAGTCACTTCGATCACGAGCACGACCCCACGTCAGATAAGTGTAGCACAAACATTAAAGAAACAATACATCAAATGAGTACAACACCGAGTTTAACACTACAAAAATGACGTACGGGTGCGTTAATTAATAAATTTGAATAGATTTTAAGGCAGATTGTAGGCACGTGCACCTGTTTACGCTTATACACGAAGCTTCCCGTGTTAATTCCACACAAAAATGGCAGATAAACAGACAGTAAAATACCAGTGAAACCTGCATTTAAAGGACACCTGTCCGCTCATCCAGGTTGATATTTTTCGTATTATAAACTAAATATTTGGGTGTAGTAACGTTTAGGCCTGCCCTCCTCCTTAAATTCTTTAACTGTTTTCCGTATTGTTTTCAATATTCAGACACTACGAGCTAATTTGCATGTTTTACTGACAATATAATTACTTGTTACGCTTTGAAAACGAATCGATACGTATGCAGTATTATGTATTTATTGGTAGATTATACGCGATTGTATTGTTCTGTAGTATATCTACAGGTATAGAGTGTATTGTATTCAAATTAGTACCCGATATTACGTATAACAATGAAGTGAATAATGAATTACCGGAAGCGTAAAATAATTATAGGAATTCGCTTCGTAATTGAAAAACAATACCAATCACCCCGATTTAACGAGGTTAATGTTAATAAAATCAACTACGCTACATCGAAGAAATTTAGAGCCCCGCGACAAGCGTGTGTGCAACAGCTTAGTTCCATTTTCGGTCGATAGGGAAAAAGTGGCGCCTCGCGCTCCTCTCGTAGCATGATAAGTCGGTACGAGCGAGGGTGTAGGGAGGAGATAAGGTAATAATTTTTCCCGAATAGCCGCCATTTCGGGAGTAGAGATTTACTAAAGCATGCGCTTCAATAAAGTTACGAGGATGCGAATAGCAGCGCTATTTTTCCCCCCGGTGGAGGGACCGGAGCTTAATTATTTGGCAAAATTTCCCTCCGTTCCGAAATTTCTGCGTGACCCGCACGAGGTAGGTCATCGTATTATTACGTGACGTTATATCGACGCTTCGATCGAAGAGGGGGTGGAATTATGACGTCATCGATGGCTTCCTCAATCCCTAATTCCGTATGACGTCGTGGACAACGAATTCGAAAAATCTTGACGTAAATATAATTAGTGATAGGTTACGGTCACGCGTTACGTTAGATTAGTGTATAGTTTAGTGTATGACTGACGGGGAGATTTCGGTGCCCGTCCGTAGACGTATTCGTAAGGAAACACACGAGGCCTTTCGCGTGTGACGTAATGTGACGTTCTTCGGACCTCAGTCCCGTAATAAAAGCACGGCCGAGGGATCTATTTAAGTTCGTGCGAATTCCCGCACGCGCCGTTCCCTAGACTGGCAACACTTGTCGGGAAGGGGTGGGGTATTTTTCGGGTTTTCGCCTCCCGTCGGCTCTTATGTACTATACTGTACCGAGAGGGATAAAGCGTCGCCTCCGACGCCCATTAAAATTTAAATGAGGGCGCGCGACCACAAAGAGGCGTTTAGCACGCTCGGCCGCGTCGTTACGGTCGAAACGAATCGGAGTGGGTGACGGAAGCGCCGTCCCGGCTAATTTCCGACCCGAGCGCGACCCGGACGCTCGTCTTCCCCCCGTGTTTCTAACTCTCCCCTCCGCGCCCCGCCTTAAAGAAAAAAAAATCGCTCCCGCTTCGGAACGCTCGCCACCAAGTCTCCCGGGTGTCGTCCTCGTCCCTCTCCTCTCCACCCCGCCAAAAACCCATCCTTTCTACAGGGCCCCTCGCCCTTTCCGCTTCCGACCGACCCGAATTCGCACGCGACTTTGCGACGTCGCGAGAGAGAGGGTGGCGAATTAATTGAAAGCTTTTCCTTACGCTTTTCCTTAATTGAAAGCTTTTCTCTTTATTCGCGCGACGTCACGCCCGACGCCACGCGAATAAAGAAACAACCGGGGGTCGAACTTCCCCGTTCTTTTCCTTCGTCCAACCCCCCGTTCTGGACCAGGCTTTTTTTGTCACGTAGTCACCGGCTGCCGTCGGTAACGATTTATCGGAGGCTCGTCCCGGGGGGGCGCTCCCCTCTCTTTCCTCATCGTCTCTCGGTCGGGTCGTCCCGGAATTCCCGTCGTTTCCCGGACTATTTCGTTCGAACGACTTCCGGTTCGGATATTTTCGGAGCTCTTAGAACGAGACTATCTGACGGGAAACGAAACCGAAACCCCTACTTAAACTTATTTCCGTTTCCGTTTCCGACGTTCGAATCTACGCTCCCCGCGGTCTCAGTTTGGTCACTTAAAACTTTTTGGCAACAGAGAACCGGAAGAATGCGGGGGCGAAAGAGACGAACGTCACAAATACATAAGGTGGCGGTTGAGGTAGGAATGACTAGTTTTTCGCTCCTCCCTCTGGACTAATCTTAGAAGGTGAGGTGTAGAGTTTTACAAATATCCTCCTAGCTCTACCTTTCGCAGTGTGCGCCCTTTTTTCCACGCGTACTTTTCGCACACCCCCAGATAACACGCGATCTCGGTAAACACGGACGGGACGAAAGCCAAGGGTATGCCGGGAAATTCGATTTAAAACAATCATTAACGGTTAAAAGTACACGGGAGTAGGTAGACGGAAGGATGCGTGAAGGACTCCGCCCCGTCCCTCCTCCTCCCTCGATGAGTCGATGGTCTCGCGCTCTTTTAAATTACGCGCCGCAACGCGGTGCGCTAATTACGCATTTCTCCCCGCGGACGGGCGATTCTTCCTCCCGTAATCCGGCGGAAATTGGGCTGCCCGTCACCCGCTCCGCCCCTCTTCCTTCTTCTCCGCCGGCGTGGAATCGGCGCCGCGCCGAAGAGCGCGATCGGCGGGGCGGCGCCGGAATCGGAGGAGGCGCACGCGGGTGTAGCGCCGTCCTCACTCGTCGTCTCCGCATCCGGTGGTGTCACGTCTCTTCGCCGTCGGGACCCATGCTGACCCCGCGCGATCCCTCCGCCTTCTCTCCCTTCGCTTACCCGACCGTCGACTCGGCCTTCGCCCACTCCTGGTCAGTAAATCTTTGGTTAATCTCGCGCTTAGCCCGCGTGGGGTGGGGTGGGGCCCGCGGGCCCCCTCCCCGGGAGGAGATTAAGACGGGCGAGACGTGCTCGGACGTCGAATGAGTCCGCGTCGGCGCGCGCGGTGGCCGCATCCCGTCCTGAGGGAAATTACCCTCGGTCCGACGCGGAATTATTTAACCAGGAGCGGAAGGAAGCGGAAGGAGGGGCGAAGACCGCCGGAAATCTCGTCGACGCCCATCTTTAATGTAAGACGCGGCTTCCCGCTCCTCCGGGAGGAACCGGGCCCCGACCCAATTTTCGGCCTCCGACCGCCGTCCCGCAGGGAAACCTCGGGAAACGGACGCTTCCTTCCCCCCGGCGCGGGGGTGGAAAAACCTCCCCGACGTTGGACGTGCCTCGAAATTTCCCGCGTTTCTCCGGCAAGAAGAGGCTTTCCCGTCGTCCCTTCGCCCTGCCGAAAGAAAAGGACGAGACCTCCGGTCGGAGGTCGAATTTCTCGATCGGACGACAGGGGAGGGGTCGGCTAAGAGAAAAGTAAGTGCGGGGGGAGGCGCGTCGGTCCCGTGAGAGGGAGGGCGACATAACCGAATTGCCAGAGGCGTGGGACGGCCCCCGCGGGAATTCCGACCCCGCGCGCGGGGCGCGAAACCCGAGAAAGGAGGCGGTGGCGGAGGTATTCCCTCCCTCCCCACCTTCCCGTCTGGCTGGGCCCGCCGACGTCACCGTTGTTCCTTCTAATTTCAGTGTCTTGGAAATGAGAAAGGAGAAGTCTCGCGACGCGGCCCGATCTCGGAGGGGGAAGGAGAACTACGAATTCTACGAACTGGCCAAGCTGCTGCCACTTCCGGCCGCCATCACCAGTCAGCTGGACAAGGCCTCCATCATCAGGCTGTCCATCAGCTACCTCAAGCTCCGGGACTTTTCCGGTCGCGGCGACCCACCCTGGAGCAGAGAGGGACCGCTCCACACCTCCAAAGGTAAGGAAACGCGCTCCTACCCTTCCGGGCGCGAGGCTCCGGCTCGGGACTCGACGGATTAGGCGGGGGAGGGAGACCCGCAGATGGGGGAGGTAATTTAAAGCGGAGGCGCGCGAGGGATTCCGCTCCCCGCGGGGATCTAACGTCAATATTGATGTTGTTTTATCGCCGGCCGGCTAAGTATCGGATTAGGACTTAAACGGGCGACAATCCACACGCGCCTCTCCTCCGCCTCCGTCCAAACATTAAAGCAAAGAGGAATTGCTGCCTCTACCCCCTCCGTATCGTCTCGCGTAACGGCGCGCGCGCGTCACCTCCATTCCCTCCCTTCCTAGCTCCCTCTTTCCTACGTAAATTCCTTCCGGTTTCAATGTTTTTTTCCGTTTCTTCTCTTGTATTGTGACGTTCGATCGACACCGGAAACTCCAACTTCTCCTCTACCTCCCTTTCCTACGCCAATCCCTACCGCGCCGTCCTACCGCTCGAGTCACTTGACGCGCGCATTTTCGCCAACGGAAAGGTGGAATTCGGAAAAAGATCCCAACCGGACCCGGCTCCACTCGGTGGGGGATGCAAAAGATCGGTACGTTACGAAGGGGGAAGAGAAAAGACTCTTCCAAATCGCCGATCCGATTCGTCTACTTCAAACGACGTAGGATCCGCGCGCGCCACGAGGACGTCGGAAACGATCGTTTCCCCTTCCCGTCTTTTAAAGTTTCCCCCTCCGAGGGTTTGTCGGGCCGAAAAATTTCATCCGGGGGGCGGGGGGTCCATTTCCAGTCCGAAGGGCGAAGGCCGAAGCGCCGCCGCCGAGACGGATTAGCGCGGATCGTTAACCCCGACCCCGTTCCTACAGGCGATCGTAAAGCCGTCCGGCCGAGAGGGGAGCGCGCGCGGCAATCTTCAAATTGCCCTCGACCCCCCTTTCTGACCCCCGCAGCCGGAACGTCCCCTTCCGCTTTCTCTTCCGTAACTTCGCGCGCGTCACGTCGCCTCCGGCGCTGGCGAGGGAAAGTACCCCGAACGTCTCTGACGGGGTGTTTTCTTTTTTTTTTTTGGCAGGTGGACATCCGGGATCCAGGTCGGTGGGAGTGACGGTGGGCGCCGAACTGTTCGAGAGGCATCAGGGCACTCACATATTACAGGTGAGGAAATCTCCGGGCGGAATCGGCCAGGGTTCGGATACGACCGGAAGAGGGTGGGCTCGGACGGAACGGAGATAAACTCCGTCCTAACTTTTTACCTAACATTTGACGTGGCTTCCGGTTCTCTACGGGTGGATCGCGGCCGACTTCGCTTCCGTTATTTTCTTTCCGGAAGTAGGGGGTGGAATTTCGTCGGCGGTGCCCGATCGATGGTCGGGGGCGACTCGGATTTCCCCCGTAAAAACAAAGAATCGGGAGGAGATCCCGTGAGAGAAACGTTAGGTAAAGAGGAGAGAAAATGGAAAGTCACCGTTAATAGCCCGGTCGCCCCTCTTCTTCACTTTTCCTCCCGATTTTCCGGGTTCGAATTCCCTATTTTCTTTTCTAAGTTTTCTACTGTTTGATTTGAGCTTCGGTGAAGAATTTCCCATCTATATTGTCCTTCTCGACATCGATTTTCACGTAAAATCGAGAAAATCTACAGGAGTTCGTTTATCCGTGTTACTTTCTACGCGTCGTTCTGACTTAAAGGTAATGGAATCCGGTGCTGGTCCCCTCCTAAACGTTAAGAAAGGGGCGAACGAAATTAAGCAGGGGGCAGTTTGACAGTTTGAAGAGCGGATCCGAATCGCCCTTCTACTTAATTTAGCGCGTAACGCGAAACCAATGTGCTCTTTTCTTAAAATTTCATCCGCGTATCGACGTCACACACTAGGTGTTTCTATTACAAACGTTCCCCCTACACAAAATAACTACTGAGCTAAGGATAGCGTTGTCCCAAGGAACTTCGATTTTCCCCCCTCCGTTCGATAGGCGCCCCACCTAATTATTATTCTATGGACGGCCGTCCTGGGGAGGGTTAAATAAACTAGTTAACTTACGTAATCCTTTGCCAACTTTTCTTTCTGTGTACTTTTGCGGGGGGTCCCCTCCCTCTCCTCCACTCGATTCGCTTCTCGTAATGAGTCGCACCCGATCTAACGACGGGGGATCTCGTCGTGACGTATTTAAAATTCTTTAAATAGAACAGTAGAGCGAGGATTTTCATCGTTAAAGCGAAATCGCCGCGCTTTGTCGCTCGGTCGCTTTCGAATTCGAAAGCGAAGCGATACGAAACGTTACTAATAGGGTTATTGGAGGTGGAAGCGGCGCTTTGTCTCCTTCGGTTTTTCGTAGAAATAACAAATAAAATACACCATTAGCGTTATTTGCGGGTCCAAGAAGGCAAATAAAATGCTTAAAGGCTTTACGCTACTGTGACGCGAAACCAAGCGTTAGGCACGGTTTTGGGGGGGCGCGAGTCGCTTTCGTGGTTCGCACGCTAAAGTAGACACGCACGACTTGAGCGACCGATCGTCTCTCGCCCTCCTCCCTCGGCTTAATAGAAAGGGACGAACCACTTTGCCGGAAAAAAGTGCCTACTTTTTGATAATGGCGAGATTAGGGCACGGGTTCGTAGGGAAGAATCGCCCGGATGTTACGTCATTACTTCCGCCCCGATATTACCCATCGAATTATTAATAATCTCCAAATTAACAATAATTATTATTAATTCTGGTGTGACGTGGAGCGACGTTTCCCTCCCGTCTCATCGCGCGTGCGACGTTTCGCACCTTCCTAGTGGTAGGTGGGTGCTCACCCTTTCGTAGACGGTAAAGGGGATGAGATTCGAGTTTCCTCCCCCCTATTCTCTGGAAGTTCGTGTCGTCCCCGTGTTACGTCATCAATTCGGTGGATCCGGGGGATCCACGCGGCTTATAAATATTTTATATAAATAGAACGATCGCGTGTAACTTCTCTCGTGTAACACACAACATATCGAATTTTCGCGGCTCGGAAATATTTATTTATTAGTCGACACCTGGAAAAAGGGGTGAGAAATCTTCGCCGGGAGGCCCGGATTTTCTGTGACGTCACCTAGACTTAATACGGGGTAAATTACAGCGGGTTCCCCTCCGTCAATTGACGTAATGGCGCACGTGCCGATACACGCTGCCCTACAAGTGTTGCCGGACAAGGAAAATGAATTATTATGCCTTTTTTGAAGGAAGTGTTGTTCGTCCCTTCGTCAGCGCCTTGTTCGGTATTCTAAACAACACAAAATTCGGTTGTTATAGCAACAATATGCAAAACTCGATGTTGGACGGTTACGCTTCCGGTAAAACAAATGTTACGATTACATTGGAAACATGGAAATTCTTCTTGATAATACATTAATGACGTGATTATTATCGACGCCTGTGTAATTTAGCTCAACAGGATTCTTTCTCTCTCAACTCTTCCTGTCATTAAATTTTAGAAAGTACTGTACTTTCTAAATTTATGAACGATCTAAATTTCTCAAAGATCTCTCTACATATAAGAGAATCCTCTCTGGATTTAAGAAATATTTTCCCAAATATTTCCCTAAATATAAGAAAGATTTCACCAAATGTTTCCCTAAATATAAGAAAGATTTCCCCAAACATTTTCCTAAATATAAGAAAGATTTCCCCAAATATTTCCCTAAATATAAGAAAGATTTCATCAGATATTTCCCTAAATATAAGAAAGATTTCCCCAAACATTTCCCTAAATATAAGAAAGATTTCCCCAAATATTTTCCTAAATATAAGAAAGATTTCCCCAAACATTTCCCTAAATATAAGAAAGATTTCCCTAAAAGTAAGAAAAACCTCCCTAAATGTAAGAAAGGAGTCTCTAAATTAATGAAAAACGTCTCCAAATGTAAGAGAATCTCTCTAAGTTTTAGAAAGTACTCTCCAAATTAATGAATGTCTTCACCATTTTCCTCGATCCTTCCACTAAACAGCGTGTATAATTATAGCGAGGATCGACTGATCGGGTTAGAAATATTAAATAATTACCCGCCAACTAACGTGGGGCACGAAATAATTCCATTACCGGAAATATTCGCTCATAAAACCTCGACGATAACTCGTGGGCCCATCGGAGTACGCGAGTAAATAGGTGCCATTTGTTTGTCATTCGTGCAAACACACGACATTTTGCCAAAACCGCAAAAGTAGGTTTATCCCCCGTGCCATTTGGTCCATCTCCCGCCTTCTCGAAATCCTTTCCCATCCCGGATAAGGCACAAATCGCAAAGGATTTGCTAAAATTCGCGTATTATGTCCGTAACGAGGGAATAAACTTCCCCTCCGAACGTCCAAAGCGTAGAAGGAAGATAGAAAGGCATTTATACAACGTCCCGTGTGTCTGTCCTTTCGAATGGTTCCAAACTGAAGTAATAAATGACGTAGGTTTAGATTCGCGGTCGTCATTTCCGGATTTAATTAGAATTCCGCTTTTGCTTCGTCCCCTCACTATTGTTTCTCACGTTTCCAGTCTTTTCTTCGTGTTTACACACATTTAATCGTATTTAATGGTAAACACTACGGGTTATAAATCGTAACATTGTATATCATTTATGTTATTTATTGCCGTAACGGGAGGGATCCGGTTACTTTTTACTTAGTGTAACCGGGTAAAAGGGTGGCCTTCTGTCGAAAATGGGAGCGTATAGACTAATGGGTTGCCTTTTATTTATTTTCACAGGAAACAATACGTTAAACTTTCGTCTACTTCGCTTCCTGGTCCGAACCCGCCACCAGGTTGACGTGGGGCCCCGACCGCTCTCTTTACCAGCCTAGCCGAACCCTCCCTTAGATCACACAGGGCGAAATAGTGTCTCCTCATTACACCATACGAGAATAATTTCTAACAAAGATTTATGAATATCGAATCAATTATTTACGAGATTTTATAATTTAATATTTAGTCAATGGCCCCTTTCCACGGAAGACACGCACGTGAAAGTCGTTCCTTCCACGTTGTTGTTACTGCATTTTCGGGTGCCACGCCATTAATTAACCTCGTTTTTTTTTTCTTTTGCCGTATTTTCTCGGACAATGCCTTTAAATATTTTGTTGTTAAATTATTGATTTAGACAATACTCCACGTTGACGTGTTACGTCACCATTCTTAATTATGTCCCTCACGCACCCACCAAATTGCAAGTTGAAATTGAAACTGTTTGCCTAACGAAAACAAATACACTTAATCCTCGATATAACGAACTGCAGGCCCCTCGACGTAACGTACTGTACGTTACGTCGAGGGGCCTGCTGTGTCCTCCCTTTCGTTTCGTACCCCGACCACAAAAATGGACGTATCTTCGCCCCCCTTACCGGAGGTTTTTTGCCCAATAAATTTAATTTAACCAAAGAGGCGTAGGCCCTATCCAACTGTTGACTCCGTAAGGCAGTGTGTATTCTGTGTTTGGTTAATAATGGAGAACGTCATCCCCCCAACCGAAACTTCAATGGAATCCGAAGATGACCGAAAACGTTCCTCGAATTCGCAATTGGAAATGGAAAACTCCCGTCTCATCGCGCGTGCGACGTTTCGCACCTTCCTAGTGGTAGGTGGGTGCTCACCCTTTCGTAGACGGTAAAGGGGATGAGATTCGAGTTTCCTCCCCCTATTCTCTGGAAGTTCGTGTCGTCCCNACCGAAACTTCAATGGAATCCGAAGATGACCGAAAACGTTCCTCGAATTCGCAATTGGAAATGGAAAAGTGAATAAACGCTTTCGAATAAGAGACGTGGAATTTCATTGGTGCAAACTCGGGACTCGTTGGCTTTTTGTCCGTCTGTCGTCCGGTCCGAATGATGAAAATTCTATTAAATTCGATAATATAAATTCGTGAAGAATTTAAGAACCCGAAATCCACCGGTGGCGAGGGGATAAAACCGTCGATCGTGGGTTCGGTCCCGGTCAACGTGGTGACTCCTGGGTTTTCTTCACTTTGTAACACCTAAATAGGGGCCGGCATCCCTTAAAAAGCCCTCCCGGGAGACATCCCCTCGACAGATGCGCCCACGTGTCGCGTTGCCGCTAACAAATAAACCGAGGGCCCTAAAAGCGAGCACGTTATGCTTTTAGGGTCCTCCGATACGGACAATACGGATATTCGGAAATCACTACGCGCTACCACC